GTAAAATAGGATTTCTTTAGGAAACTGTTCGGTTGGGGAGTGGCAGGTGCCGTTGGCGTATTCAGCCACTTGGTGTTGCTGTAGTTTGGCCTAATTTCATTGTGAGCAATTCCTGCGAGAAATTTGATAAATATATGACAGCAATTTTACTGTTACTTCGGCAAAAACATCGATTTCGCTTGAAAATTAATTTTGGATGTGGTAAAATTTTCCGCACAATAATCAATGTGTGGGGATCCGCAACCAACCGAATTTACCATTGCGTAGCTGTTGAAGTTAGCGTAACACACAACTGACGATGTATAGCTCTCTTGTCCACCACATATATGCATCAGTACTTCGGAAACAGCCGGAGTGGCTAATTTTTTTGTCAAACTACCAGAAATTGATAAACAAAACCTACATATTGAAAGGCACGAAGCTGTTTATGCCTTTTTGCCTATACGTGGGAGCAAAAGATGTTGATTTGGTGAGAAGAACTGGAGGCAAGAAAGAGAACGGACAAGAATATTAGTTAGGAAATCAGCTCGAGAATGGACATAACAATGAAAAGAAGAGTGTAACACATCACTGAAAAGGATTATTCCGATAATTCTGCTCTCAGCTTTACCTAAGCATCAGCTTCATAAATAGGGACTCGAGACGGGTTTCTATAAAACAATTTCCACTCAAAATTTATTGCCTTTGCTACGTCTTTTATTTTTTTTCAGTTTTTCTTTTGCTTTTTCAGTTTTTATTTGCTTTTGCTTTCCTTAGCTTTTATTCATAGATTTCGATTTTTTGATTTCCTTTTTTTTTAACTTTAGGATTTCTTCAATTTATTGTTGTTTGTTTCTCTTTGCAACTGATTCCACTTCCTGCCTCGAACTTCTGACTAGTACCTTTTGTCTCCTTCCTTTGTCCTGCCCTCAATCCATGCTCCCAGAATTGCACCTTGGCACTTACCCATTAGCCCCCTCCCTCGGCCCCCTGCCCCCCTCAGCTACGTGACCCAACCGCCAAGTCCTGGGTAGCGCTAGATAGCGTTCGTTGGAAAAGTGCCAAGCGGCCTGGCAAACGATGTCGCGAAATAGTGTTGGCAGAGAAGCTAGAGCGTTTCCGGCCGAGACGAGCCTAGTAATTGCCCTGAGGGTATGAAACACAGCATTTGCAGAGAGCTGTACGAAGCAGCGGAGGTCAGGTTTGGTAGACGGCTAGGGGAAGGGGGTGGTTGTCCCCCAGTCTGGTCGAGGGCTACGATGTTGGTTCCTTGCGCTGTTGGGCGCTGTCCTTCTTTGCTTACTCGGTTGGCATCGATTCAAAGCCGTACATTGACGGATCCAGAGCGGCTTCCCGGGGAAGGTGGGGAGAGGGAAAGGGGGGGAGGGGGAGGGTGGGGGAGGCTTCAGAGGATATCGAGGAGAGTTTTCTACAGACTAACAACTCCTACCAGTGCCGTTGGGAGGGCAGGGGGGGGGGGGGGGGGG